CCCAGCATGCTTTGCACTTTGTAAAACATTTTGAAAATAGCTGCATTTCAGCAAATTTGACTGAATGCATGAATTATAAAAATTATAAAAATCATAATTTAGCTAATGTCCTAATAATCTCATTGTAAGAATATACTCTCTTTTAAATTAGTGATATCATAAATCAGCAACCTTACAGGGTAGCTGAATTAGTAAAAAGTACAGCTAAATAGAAAGTAAAAAAATTGAATAAAGTATTTTAAAGTACTAGTATATTTTGTCTCAAATGACCATATTCTGATTTGTAAGCAAAGAGATGTTGAGGGCGCTAGACTTATGAAAGGGATCAGTGCAGCTGTTATCAAAGCAGGAAACAACAAAAGAAAGGATTCATAATCTTATCTGTGATATAAACATCAGTACTAATTATTTAAATTTGGTTTATTTTAGCATTTTTGCGATGCTGACAGGGGATTGGTTTTACAGTTAGGCGATGAAGAATACCAATGTTTTTACAAAGACCAAATATTATTTATAAGAATTGAACATAATGATGCACTACATGAAGGCTCATTAGTGTGTCCATCTTGTCAAGAAGTCTGCGGTGATCAAATTGTATGTCCAGTAGAGGAACTCAATCCACCACCAGATAATAGAACGTCAAAGGTATATGGTAAGTGGAGATTCTATTGGGTTAATATGGTTTGTTTTTTATTACCCATTTATGATTGTGCCCATCTTGTCAAGAATCTGTAGTGATCAAATCATATGTCAATGAGAGGAACTCAATCCACCACCAGATAATAGAACGTCAAAGGTATATGGTAAGTGGAGATTCTATTGGGTTAATATGGTTTGTTTAAATTACCCATTTATAATTGTGCCCATCTTGTCAAGAATCTGTAGTGATCGAATCATATGTCCACGAGAGAAATTCAATCCACCAGATAATAGAACTTCAAAAGTATGTGATAAGTGGAGATTCTATTGGGTTAATATGGTTTGTTATTTATTAATCAATTTTGAGTGCACCCATTTTGTCAAAAAGTCTGTAGCGATCAAATAGTATGGGGGAATTCAATCCACCACCAGATAATAGAACATCTTAAATTTATAATTTGAAATACTCCCTAATTCTACCCCATATGTCTCCAATGTCATCATCACAAAGGATTTGTTTCTAAGCTTTCTTTGGTTTTGTGTAGTCTCATTTTTATCTTTTCTGCTTTTTTTCAGTTATACCTTGTGTTGCTGGTGCCACAATGATATCGGATTCACTTTTCTCAAGCATTTTTCGAACAATATTATTAATATTCCTGATGGTAATTCTCTAGAGCATGGATTAAAATGTCATGAAATGGCCAATAACTGATATGCATCACCAATAGTGTCATGGCGTACCAAGCCACAAGAGGCTGGTAATGAGTAACGAATCCGGCATTCTGATTGGTCCATCACTTTCTTGTTGCTTGTTATATTTCCCTTGGTTACCTGACGTCAGCGCTTATGCTCGTGGCCATTCAGGGTTTCCTTTTACTTTAGAAAGTTGGGCGAATAAAAAAACTCTCCCTTTTGTTATAAATGTGCACAGAAACATCGAGGAATGACATCAACATCTCAAATAAGTCTAAGCAGGCAGAATGTATGAGCATGGCTTTATTGTAGTATTACAGTCACGTTTACGCAGATTGTAACTTGGAATGTTTTAAAATTACATCACTCTGTCACGTTCTTTCCGGCCCAGTGGAACAATATGGCGATTACTAGTTACCTGCGTCCTACTTGTCATTCGCAAAGGACGCCGGGAACCAGCAAACACCAATAGATAGACAGAGTTATGACAGAGGTCACCACTAGATGGCAGTAATTATGTTAGAGGTCATCACCAGATGGCAGTAATTATGACATGATGGAGGCAGCCATTTTATGGCAATAATTGTGATGGAGGTCACCACTAGATGGCAGTAATTATGTTAGAGGTCATCACTAGATGGCAGTAACTATGACATGATGGAGGCAGCCATTATATGTCAACAATTGTGATGCAGGTCACCACTATATGGCAGTAATTATGTTAGAGGTCACCACTAGGGGACTGTAACAGCTATTTTCATGAAACTTTGAATGATATTGTTTACATAAATGATACACTAGGGATAGTTACTACTAAACTTGTAGGTAAATGTATATCAATTGTTTTGAAGTTATTGGTAAAATCCAAACAAAAATCACAACAATGTAGAAAAGCAAAAATTACTGTTGCCAAATTATATACATATAGCATGTGGTTTTGTGCAGTCTTTTTACCATCTGCTTTAGAATCAAATGTGAAGACCAAGCCAAGAGTTATTTTCATACAGTGTGTTCCCATTCTAACATGTTAGAAGATCGACAACTCTATCTTTGGTTACAATTTTTGCACCAAAACCACAAGATCTAAAGATGTTGATAGAAATTGTAGAAGTGGCCTGACAGATAGTTCAAAACTGACATGTTACACACATTGAACAATAAAACTAAGCCAAGTATTAAAATTATTTTGAATCCGATCAAGAGCAATAAACCTGGTCATTGAAAATGTGTGTACTTTCGAAGATGTCCCAAGTTTTGCGACCAACCCATACATTGTGTTATTACCAAGCATTGGGGGATGACCAGAAAAATGTTATCATGCGTTGCTGTTGAATCATTAACTGATGAAAACCAGGGATCCTCGGGGGCGGACATCCAGACGTTTTCAACGCTTGGCAACCCTTGCGGTGAAAACAAAGGCCAAAAACTCACAGAAAACGGTACTTTGGGATGGTTGTTGAGACTCCTCTGAACAGTGTAACAAGATTAGCCTTGTGTGTGTAACATATTTAAATTTGGTTGTTTGGGATTACTTCAAAGTTGAGTTTGTGTTGTTTTCTCGAATTTTCACCAGCCCGACCGACGTTCGTCAGCAGCGCGCACAGAGCCCATAGAAATACATGTACAGTGGTGTGCGTCTTAGCAACGTGGAACGTCTTGTGACGTAGCTCCGCCCCCGAGGATAGACACTGGCTTTTATGGATGTGGTTGAACAGCTACACTAGTTTTGTAGACTCCTCCTTTGTACAAACTACTGTAAAAGGATTAATTATTTACTGGGTTTTAATTTTGCTTATTTCGCTGACTGGAAAATATGCTAAATTAAAACCCAGTTAATATGTAAAATTTAGCATAGAACACATTATGTAAATGATAAAACCATGAATTTAAAACCCACTGAATATGCCTGAAATGGTAAATCAGTGAAATTTAAACCCAGTGAAAAATTGGTTATTTTACAGTATGAGAAATCATCATTTTGACCATTCTGTATGGACTGCAGAACCTACGTTGTTTTGATTTTACTAATAACTTTATAACATGTCCGAGCAAGTTTAGTAAAGTTTTGTGAAGCTGACGTATGATCTGAAATTATTTGTAATCAATGTGTTTATCACGAGTATCACTGTAAGTTTGAAAATCAACATCGAATTTTTATCAATGAAAATTAACTCTCATTGTGAAAGGATTCAAAAAGTGAGGTGATCTTGCATCATCTTTTTTTTTTTTTTATTGTCCTTGTATATTGACATTTATGGAATTGTTACTCACTATCATGTAGTACTCATTCTCAATATCCCCACTAGAGGGCAGCAATATTGATCACAGTCCCTGAGATCTTAAGATTTTCTTTTTTTATATTTATTGTGGATTGTTATGATATAGATAATGTGTGTGTTTGTATAAATCAGGTATTTTTAAAAAAATTTTATCTTTTCAAAATACATTTAAGATAAAATTTCTAGAACGGTTAATTTAAAGTCTACACTAACAGTTTGTTACTCCTAGATGAAAAACTCCACAAATACATGGGAATGCAATTTACAGCTTCTCTATACTACTTTCCGTTCTATAAATATTCAACTATATTACTATACATTGACCTCCATTTTGAATTTTCCTGCAAGGAATTGTGAATCCATAACTGATGCAATTTAGTTCAAAAAGTTCAGTGTGAATATTACTTGTACATATAATTATTATGAAGAATATTATTTTGGTTGTTAAAAATAGAATGAGTTTTTATATATTATCTTTTTGTAGTCCACCGGTTATAAATAACTCATCAATAAATTGTACAAAGAATTATAAAAATGAATATTTTCAGTGTTGTTGCCATGACAACTATACATGTATGTTCGGTTGGCACTGTTATGCGCCCAAGTTCTAAACTTTTCAACCAATTTGAAGGGTGGAATCATTTCCCTAATTTTTCAAAACAGATTCTATGTCTATCTATAATCCTTTGTTGGAGAATCAAGATGGACTACATACATATTGATGAAAAGTGAAAAGTGCATTTTCCTGTATTTATAGAGCTCTTTCTTCTGTAATATTTTGTAAAGACAAAATAAAGAATCAAACCCTGTTACCATTGCCAAGGGTTGTCACCACCCACAAAATAGTCCTGTGTATATTAATTTGGTTTGCATATCATTAACCCTTTCATCACACTGTTGGCACTGTGGTGACAATCTGTCATTGTCAACGTTTGTCACCTTCCACCAAATTATTCATGTTTGCAATTTGCTTGTTCGATATTTATCCATCTTTTCATTGATTAATACATGTATTAATTTTGACTATTTGGCAAAACCTCTAAACAAAATTCAAAATTTAGTGCCAATTGCAGAACAATGTTTGCGCTAACAGTTACGAGAGTTGATCAGTAAGTTCACAGCCTTCTTCATAAAACGTTACAGAAGGAAGATTTTTCTTACACTATTTTTCAATACACTATGCACTTTGTCCATCAATGTTCCAGTTTTCCTATTCCCAGCTGGAAGAAGGTTTCATCTTGATCCTTTAGATAGGCCTCAACAGCTTGGATGACATCAGTCTCAAAATGGTGACCACGCAAGTGGGACTTTAGTTTAGGAAACAGGTAGAAGTCCAACGGCGAGTAGAAAGGGTGAGGTAAGAGTTCAAAGCTACATTGGGTTCCTGTTGCCAATGCCACCTGTGCTGTGTGGACAGGAGCATTGTCCTGGAGCAACATCACACCAGCTCGAAACTTTCCTCTCCTTTTCTCTTTGATTGCTGCTCTTAACTGTCAGTTCTGAAGCATAGTACTCTCCATTGATTGTTTGACCATTTTGCAAGTAGTCAATCATGATGACTCCCATGCTGTTCCAGAACACTGAGACCATCATTTTGCCGACTGATGCCACTCGCTTGAACTTCTTGGGCGGCTGTGAACCCTTGTGCTCTTTTGATTCTGGATCAAAGTGGTGAACTCATGTCTCATCTTGGGTCACAAATCTCTTGAGGAAGTTGCCAGGATTTGACTGGAAACGGGCCAAAAGCCTCCTTGAAACTTCCAACCTGTTCAACTTCTGATGTGAAGTCATCATTCGGGGCATCCACCTTGCAGACAGCTTGCTTATCTCCAAGTTGTTTGACAAACATTTTGAACCGCGCCATAACTGATGCCTAAGGAATTCCTGGTATGTCGGATAGTGACACCTTTGTCATTTATTACTATGCGATGGATGGCCTCAACCTGATTGTCCGTGGTGGCAGATTTTGAAAACACTATCGCAAAGCAGTTGGAAATAATAAATGTAACAGCAGAATGAGTCCTAGTAATAAAGTACAGTGACTTCTAAAGAATGAATGTTTTTGAGAACTTCATATACAGGGCCCGGTTTCAGTTATAAATTAACGTTAGCTTCATGTTCATGTCCTACCATGACAACAGCCAAAAACATCTTGCTTGTTTTTTTGAGCGGAGCGGATCGCCAACCGGCTTGTAGAGAATTGTCAGTTATTTCCCAATTATACTAAGGAATGTTCAATCAGCCTTCACAGCTGCTAATAAATTAGGATGAAATATTTGGATTTGATTACATACATTTGTACTTTACTTTTAATATCATTTAGTGCTGAAACCTATGATGTTCTATTGAAAAGCTAAAAGACGGTACAATTTGTGACAATGCTAATTTATTGCAACCAGAATATTATGACAGAAGTAAAATAATAATCAAATAAAATAATATAACCAATAATTTATCTTGGATTACCCAAGATAGAATTTATCCCCAGCTGATCAACATACCATATATAGAAGTACATAAATATATATATGGGGAAAGGCACAACCATATATGGAAATACACAACCATATACGGAAGGACAGCTATATCCAACCAAGGAAAGCCATGACATTAATGTGCATATCAGTAAAATAAAATAGCATGAAATTGAAATATATAGACTTCAAAATCAAATATTGTCTCTGTATAATACTTTAGCAATTGAGGATTTGTGGGCTGATTGTTAGCGCCTGTCAGTTTTACCACCCTTTCGCTTGCCAGCAAACAAATGTTTAGGCATCTTTGTTGTAATAACTCTGTCGGCTTCTCCGGCTTTACCAAATCTGTTGCGATTCCTCTGTGATAGTTTCCCCATTTTCTTAGTTTTGTTGAACATCTAGAAAATAAGAGAAATTGATTTATACTCATGGACCTGTCTGACCAGGTGGGGAGATTTTATTTGGTTTTCTAACTCATGTAGAAATATACAATACTTGAAACTGATTGAAGGCAGTATATGGAAAGCTAAATATATTTATGTGCAAACTTTCTACTGAATCAGGCGATACATTTAGAATGCTAATATTTCTGGGAAAGCTATGAAAGTTTAGAAAAGCTACGAAATTTTAGAAGACCTATAATTGATTAGGTCACTGTGAATGTTTGAACAGCTCAGAAAAGGAAAAGAAAACTATGAAAGTTGGGAAAGATCTATAAATGCTTGGAAAGTTACAAAAGAACTAATAATGCTAGAAAATCAAAGAACATTATGAAAGGTGTGTGATATCTACCGGTATAGACAATTTTTTAGAAGGAAGAAAAGCTATGAAAACTGTGCTAGAATAATTGTTCCAGTAGTCATTACTAAGACCCTGGTTCTCAAAATGATGGTTTTCACCCTGTTGGAATCCTTAAATAGATTGCATCCATTTGGAAAATGGAATAACCCAGTCACCATGGCTGACAGAACACTTACCGTCTCATCACGTACTCCTGACAGATCACGTGGTGTTCGAGAACTGCTACGGGCCCTACCAAGAGAGTCTGTACGTTGGCGCTTCTTGGCAACTGGAGTTTTACTTCGTGATCTACTGCGAGTGAAATGACCCTAAAAAGACACACGACTAAGAGTCAGACTTTACAAATAGTTTTCATGAAATTGATCAAAATTAGAACTTAAGTCGAAAACATTATATGAATGACAAAGACCAAATGAAAATTGGGACCATCAAACACTTGAAAAACAATGACTGTGATTTCTCTATAGTTTTAAACCCCTACGGTACTTCGGTGGCCATTTTGAATATAAAATTAGTGTAAATGGAGCCCATAATTCCAAAACTTCAAAATACTAATTATGATCGCAATGACAGGAAAAAAAATTCATATTCCTGGATATCACTTCCATCTGATGAAAAAATTGTTATTGATGAATTTGACAGAATTTCCAAAAAATATAATATAATTTTAGCAATAAAACAAATAATTATTAATATATTGAGAGTATGATGCCGCGAACAGTTTTCCATTCTCTACGTCCACAAATACCATGATTACATAGAGTTAGGGGAACAGTGGAGAAAATAATGAGTGGGAGAATAGAACACAATTTGAGGGGCAACAACAAGTTTTGTGGCTGTAGCTCTCAACAAGACTATTTGTGAATGTGATCCAGTGACCAATAAGTTATTATTCAGTGTCTTGTATGTCTTCTAAATTCTTTGAAGAAACTATTTGTATACGTGATATTTTGTTGACTTTCTAAATTGAGTGTAAATATGCATAACCATAGCAATCAGTGTGACACATCACATGACTTACCCCAGGATTAGGTTCAACACCAAGTTCTCCCATTTCTCGTTCAAAGCGACTTCGTTTACCCTGAAAATAAAAAATAAATATTTATTTAACAGTTATATATAAAATTAAAATTGGAATTTCAATAATTATTAAATTTTGTTGAATTGGTCAATTTTAAGATTTCAGACAAAATGACCATCAATATGACAAATTTGATTAAGTCACATAAAATAACACAACCCATGGTTTTACCTATAAGCATAGTATTTATGTGCAAACTTTCAAACAAATTAGGCAATATATTAGTGAAAAACAAAATAGATATGAATAAAAACAAAATGGCTGTCAATTGGCCATTTTTGTATGAAACTCAGGAAAACATGATGTGCACCTTTAACTCAATATGTATGATCCTCATACAAAGTTTGAATGAAATCACCCTGTTCATTTCTGAGAAATGGTTCTGGAAATGCTTGAGTATCAGAATTTAGCAAATTTAAAGACCAAAATGACCGCCAGTCAACCAAATTGTTGTTTTTTTGTCACAAGAATTTATTTGTAGTTCCCAAGCAAGTACAAAGCAACAAACTTCTGCTTCCTTTTGACTCTATCATAAATCAACTTCAGATCGATGCAGCTAACAAACATTTGACATGAATTTTGATTTGAAAGTTAGATGAAAAAACTTATCTAATATATGAACCTTAATTCAGAGCAATTGTTGAATTTAAAATGGCCACAGATTATGGATAAATCAGTCATTGTTCCCATGGAAAAAAGTTAACCCTTAACTTTTTATTTTGCTTTTTGTCATTTGATGAAATTTCACACCTCAGCGGAATATTAGGAATTTAGATTATTTTCAATTCTTCGCATCTTTACCAGAATGCATCCATTCTCCAACATTCTTTGTAAAACTATAATAATTATTTACCTTGATAGCAGTTCTGGGTAAAACAGGTTTCTCCACTTTTCTTTTCTCCTTTGATTCCATCATAACTATCTTCCTTTTGTTACGGATTCTGTAAAAAAGCAAATACAAGTATGAAACTATCTCCATGACAACAATATAATTTGCCTACTTTACCCTCTATATATAGCGATTAGATGGTTCAAAACGTTGACTGCCATTTCTCTACAAAATTTTTAAATGTTGATGAAACTTCACAAACTTTTTTTTTAATTTTTGAATAAATTGACATCGTTTTTCATTGGTTATAGGTCTGGATCAAAATTTTTGAAATATATATAGAAAAATTTAGATCAATTTCTTTAAATATGTAATTTGTAGAACTAAATCAGTGGAAATGTCCACCGTTTTAAACTTACTTTGATGCAATTTTTCTGATTTCTCTCATTTCTTCATCATCTGATGACTGTAAATATTAATAAATATTATTATACATATGTCACCGTAAGGCCATAAGTTACAGCATGCCGTAATTTTGCAGTATTTTACGGGGTATTTTCATCCTACCATATTAGGAAATGCGAATTCCAAATATGGAATGATTACGCGCATAGGTGTCCTCTAATAATAAAAACAAACATGGCTGCCACCAGGGTTTGACCGGACTCAACACAAAGAAGTTTGCTGATTCTGTTCTAAACATTTTGGATTTTGGCATTCCCATGGTGTATCCTTGGAAGGAAAAGAAGTATAATAATAAGGTTATTACGAGAATACCTTGAAGTACGCTGCACGTCGGTCGATACTACAGCTGTACTGTCTTCATGCATACTTTGAGGTATCCTCATAATAACCTCATATTAATTAATAACAAGGCTGGTGAAATAGAGGGCACCCTGAAGAGGCTAGACATATAGAGAATGCCCTGAAATGGCTAGACAGATAGAGGGAGCCCAAACAGGGATAGACATACAGTGGGCACCCTAACATGGCAAGTCATAGGAAGCAATATTTTAGTCATTGTACATTTGTACAATCTAGATTTTAATAATTTGTATTTGTACAAATACAGATATCAACAGAACTTAAATCACTCACCATATCTTCGTCATACTCGCCCGCTCCTTCTCTTAGCAATTCTTCCTTCTCTAGTTCTTCCAATTTTTTTTCAATTTCTGGATCGATATAATCTGCCAAATTCTTGCCCTCCCACAATTCGGGAATAACGTCATATTTCTCATCCTCTGGAATCAAGTAATGTTTATTCAAATCCAAGACGTACAAGTCTTCTTCCTCTATCTCAATATCACGTTCTAACTTCTTACGTCTGCCCTCAATCTGCATGGCAGATTTCTTCTTCTGTACGCCTTCTGGTATACATGGTGGCCTCGTCTACAATCAGAGATAATCCAACATGCTTAAAGGCACAAATGTAATTTATACAGTAAATGTGCTATGCTAATATCAGCAATTCTTGGGATGGACACACAGACATTTTCCCTGCCTGGCAACCAAAATCGAAAGTGTTTATACCTACATGTGCAACAAATATATAATATAATAATATAATATAATAATATATAATATAATATCAGGATTGTCTCATAGTTGAGTTTGTCCAGTTTCCTTGACTTTATCTTTTTTCACCGGCTCTTTGAACGGTATTCCACAGCTGCTTGCACAGAGCCCATAGAAATGCATGGTACAGTGGTGCATGTAACAGCAACGTTGAATGTTCCATGACTTATCCTCAGCCCCCCCCCCCCCCAATACATCATACTTTATTTTGGGTATTCTATATAAAAACACAGGGGTGAAAATTAAAAAAAAAAAAAAAAAAAATGGTTGTCCACTGGGCTGACCATGGCATCTTAAACTGATTGTTCACTTGAAAATAGTTATCTAACAATTTTTGTGCATTTAACTTTATAAAAATGAAACAAATTGTTGGCGACTACAACGTCAAAGTCATCTCACTTTGCAGACAACTGCTCAAAACATGTTCAAACTTTCAATTAATAAAAATACAAGTCGTGATACTACACGGTTGATTCTACATTGGATTACGTAATACTGTCAGATTTCTGTTTTATTTATTTTCACAGTGGCCAGCCACTATTCCTATTTGGTTGCCCAATAACAAAAATGGATGATGCACGGAATAACCGAACAACGGCTAATTTTGAAATCTGCTTCGTTAATCGATGACAGAACACTTACTTTCTGATCCCTTTGTTGAGGAACAGCGAGATGTAGTCTATTCAACACATCATTGACTTTTTTTCCTTTTATCTTTGTATCCACTCTCTGAGCTAGCAGCCTATCACACGCCTGCAATCAATTCACATTGACCAATCACAGCAAGGTAATATTCAATCAATCATTTGGAAGTTATCCAATTACGCATTAAGATTTTTTAAAAACATAAATGTATATTCAAGAAGGACACAGCATCCACAAAATGTAGTTTATCTAAAAAGTAGCATACATACCTCTGTTTTCACATCAATGACACCTTCTTCTGTCACGGTACTCATTGGTAATACTGGTATTCCCTCAGTCTGGAAGTCGGATAATAATTTCTGTTGGAAAAATAAACTGAATATTATTAACACTAATGATTAATAGTTGTTTAATGTTAAAATGATTGACATTCAGTCATCTTGTTTCTGATTGTCGAACAAGTACTTTTCTATATTCAGTGATATTGCTCTGGAACAGTATTAATTAAAACAAAATGGCCACTGGTCAAACCAATACACAAATGTAGTTAAACATTGCCATCATAGAGTACAGTGGGTAATGGGAAATGTTTGAAATGTATCTACAGAAATTAGCAAGATTATCTATACTCCAAAACTCATGCACTACACGCTTAGTAATGACATTTGTAACACATAAACACTACAACTAGTTCTTTCACAGAATCACTCTATTATTCAGAATCACTCAATGCACTGGAAATTATCAGTACAAAATATCCATGTGATAGCAGTAAATTTTATGTTATAAACAAATCAAACCCAACATTATAGCATGCAAATACAGTGCCATTGTTATGATACAAAGTTTCAATCAGAAAACTGTAATAATTTCGCTGGCAATGCACAACAACACAGTGAACAATAGTCTAATCATTTCTGGCTTACTGCCTGGTTTTTGATAAGGTTATAGTTTGTAGCCTTCCTTATGAAAAATTAGTGTGGGCTACCCTTTTAGATATATAATAATCAGGGATTTTTCTAGAAAAACTGCAAGAGGGAGCACTGCAATTCAGCGGCGCCACCAAGTGGTGGAGATAGGTTTTTCCCTACCAGAGTGTGGAGTTTATGATAATTCTAAGTTAAAATGGAGCATTCTATGGCTTCCTTGGGGCCAAAATTACTATCAGACAAGTCACGGTTGAAGACTGTGGTCATTCAGAATTTTACGGTTGCCAGAGGATCTGTTCCCCAGGGTAAGGGAGCACATGGCCATGGCATGAGGGCGCTGCGCCCCTGTTCCCTTGTTTAAAAAAATACCTTTACATACCTTTTCATCGTCTCCAAGTTCTTCGGGCTTTACAACATCAATTTTGTTGAGTATTATAAGAAGAGGTTTGTTAGCAAACAATGGCTGGATATTCTTGAATAAATCAACCTACATTGAGAAAGATGGTGATTAGAAATGATACACAAACAAAAACACTGAACTTTGGTTAAAATTCATTCTTACATGGCAGGAACAATGGAAAATGGAGACAGTAACAGAAACACAATAACCATATTGGCTCTTGTAGTAGAAATGCGGTATTTATTAAGGGCCAGAAACAAGCAAAATGTATTCCTGGAGAATCAGTTTCTAACGCCTTTCTTTGAGAACATGTATCATACTTTTTCAACAAAATGTCTCTATTAACTCTTTGAGTACAAAGGTCAACTTTTGTCACCATTCAAACATTTTAAACCCGCATAATTTTTTCATTATTTTTCCAAAACTTGTAGTTAATAGGAAAGTATGTCCATTTGGTTCAAAATTATCAAAAAAATGTATAGTAAAACTCATAAAAACTATTTTTAGATCCAGTTTGCAATTTTTGTTTTAGATGCACTTTTGGTTGGAGATGCGCTTCTAATACTGTGGAATACTTTTTTTTCGATTAGAATTAATTTTCGCTATTTTTGCTGAAGGAATGATTCAGTGAAAATAAAATCCAGCGAATATACATGTACCTTTTTTCCTATACTAGTATTTTATATTTAACTCATCAAAAATCAGTGAAAATAAATTCCATGCACTCGAAAAAAATTTTCAGCAAAAATTGATTTCAGCTACAATAAAGTAATACAGTATAGTGTAAATACGATATTTGGAAAATATTGCGATGAGCAATAAATATGTTCGTTACCTGTTCTTCTATAGTATGACCGCATTGTTCACTCGTGTCCATTATGTACAGAACAGCGGCTCTAAGATGCGCTAAAGCAGTTATCGCCTGCATTTCAATGGTATTCCTTTCCTCCAATGAATGGTCTAATATTCCAGGTGTATCTACCACTTGCCATCTCAGGTATTTATAATCGGTATGACCAACAAATAATGACTTTGTTGTGAATGCATATGGTTGCACTTCTACGTCCGCTCTAGTGATCTGTGTAGAACAGACAGGAATTTTTTCATACACGTTAAGGTCTCATGCCACGAATCAACCAATCACTGTTCGTAGCCTTGCAAGAACCAATTAAATTTTTTTTAATATTTTTTTTCTCAGGTGCTCCCTGTTTGAGGGCGTGATCACCTGGGTCAGAGGTGAGACCAACATGTGGTCTTTTGTTTACTACTTGGCAACTGTGTTGGTTTATTCTGCGTGTATTTGGATGTTCTAATCTTGGTGTTTTTCCAGTGATTTCTCTAGGTGCAATCCAAACACAGTAAGTGTGTATTGTTTATGTACGTTTTTTTAATGGCATGTTGATTTCTCATTTTAGAGCCATGTTTGAGCCAACTTTGTTTATTATTTTCATATAGCAATCTCATCATAGATTAAACTTTGTCGTCTATGGAGTTTCAATGCACGTCTCATGCAGGATTTCAGTGCCCTCATGTGACAAGTTACAAATAAATGTATATATACATGTATATATCAAGAACAACTATGTTTCCCAGTCAGAATGACACAAAATTCTGTGATTTTTTTGGCAAAATTCACGATCATTTTTCTTAGAACTAAAGCTGGTTACCTTATTGATGAAACTTGATTTTCCAACATTTGGAAATCCACATATAAGTAAAGTTCTTGTGTTCGGATCAATTGATGGTAATCGCGATAGATGCTGTCTAACTTGCTCTAAATACTCCAGACTCTGATTCTGTCGTTTCATAACTGTGCACATCCTCCCTAAAGCTGCTTTTTTCAACTGCTTACATCGATACAATGTATCAGCATATTTCATTAATCTGACATAATCTTTAGAAACACTGTAAAAAAATAATTAAAAAAATAAAATGAATTTGGAGATAAAATTTTGATAAAGTAGAGCATGTTTAAAAGCACTGATTTTTAGTACTTTATTGAATAAAATGTTTAATCTGAAAAATGAGCAAAAAGCAAATAAAAATCAAAGATTTTCAAATAAAAACTTTGTGATCCCACAAATTGCATTACCACACCACCAGCTGAAAGCCTCCATGAATGAAAAAATCAACAGATAATATGATGAGTTCAAAAAATATTTTCTCTAAAAGACAGGAGGCGATTAATTTAGCAAAGTTGTTAAATATCCTATGACAGGTTTAGCAATCCACTTTTACAAATTTTGACAAGCTAGCTACATTTCGCAATTGAACCCTCCCTCCCCCACTACATTTTGGAGAAAATCCAATTCTTGTTGACATTTTCAATTGAAAATTGGTCAAAATATATACAAGTAAAGCTCATTGCGAAGCGACTAGAAGATATTTCAAGTCCATAAATCCATCCTTAAGTGATTTCAACATATGAATGAAGGAATGGAAGCCGAAAAAATTAAGGTGAATAGGAAAATTCCATGCAAGTGGCTAAAGACCAATTCGCATGGTTTTGCTGAAGCAGACAGACAGACAGACAGACAGACAGACAGACAGACAGACAGACAGACAGACAGACAGATTTAAGAGGGAATGCATCAGTCAGAGTTTGTATTAAGGCAAATTTATGCATCTAGAACATAAATCTTTGGATTCACAAAAATAAATACACACACAAAATCTTACTGACAGGTCACATCGACTTCAAGCATGAGACTCTGCCTTTTCTATTTTTAGTTAATGTATTAAACTAAAAATCTCTCAAGAAAATATATGGAAATTCGAATCATTTTCAAATTGTACATCTGTTTATTTTATTATTTGTACAATGCTGATCAGATTACAATAATTATTTAAAGAGAAAGTCAAGGCAAACAACATAATGCTCCCAGATGAAAGAAAAAAAACTTTAAATTGCATTCACCTACATTTGTGGAGACAAATTTCAAGTTTTTTTTATATCACTTTTAATTCTCTAGATATTCACTTTTTATCAGTAATATGTAGTCCACCATATTGATTTTTCAACAAAGGATTATGGGTAAAGTGTGACATCATAGCCACTGAACATATAGAACATATTTAACAAATAAAGTTTTTATATGATGTCCTGTTATTTCATGCACATATGATTATTTTGTAATGATTGGAGATTAAAAATACATAGCAACACATTATTTTGATAACACAAACCCAATTCTTCAGTCATCAATAAAATATGAACGTACTTGTTACCACGGTTATGTCCGAGTGACAAGGTGGAAATACCAACAACATATGCATTGATCACATGCAGTTTAGATGAGTCTTCAAGAAAGCTATAACTTATAATCAGTATGTGAAAGTTAATGGGACTATTCTGTGGATGGTTTCAAAAGTTTACAATAGTGGCACACCTAGAATACTAAACAAATGCAACAGAAAGCACCCTTAAGATTGGTGAATATTTGTGGTAGGACTTACTTGTCTATGAGATGTCTGGCTGTATTGATCTGTCCGAGGGCAAGTTTATAATGATCTTTATCATATAAAACATTCATAAGATCAGCATAGAAAGGATGAATATCCTGCAATAGAAAAAAACCCAGAATTTTTAGGTTGAAAATTTAATTTTCCTCATTTTCATGGATTTCAAAATATAGAATAATTTAGGCACATTATTGCAAGGTGACAAATTAACTTTTAAATGTTTAAAGTAAATATAAATGTCTCAAAATGTAACAGTTTCCTGTAACAGTTTTTGGTTAGGCATGCACTCATGATACTTTCCTTTTACCCTTTGATCACCGTCAATTTTCTAGTCAAAATTTGCCTGTTATTATTAATTTTTCCATATTTCTTAAAAAAAAATTTGACAATTGAACATAATTTTCTATTGGTTATAAGTCTTGATCAAGATTTTGAAAAAATTAAGAAAAATTATTAAAAAATTTGTCAATGGTTGTTGAAGTAGATTTTGGCGAGTGAATACAGATTCAAATGTATCTCATTTAGTGACAGAAGTGATTTTGTAAGGATCCTGAGTCAAAACAGAATCCTAAAAAGCAAGTATGTTTGTTGACTGCTAAGGAAGTCAGGTTGGTCTTCAAGAAACAATTAAAATATATACGTGAAATAACATGTATACCTTCGTACATGTAGATACTGTACTGAGTAATCATAGTTGAAATGACAGAAAAATTGTTGTATATTCTTAACAAGTTTGGGCTTTCCTTACCACAGTTTTCTCAAGTGCATGAATGCAATTGGATCTATCTGATATGCAATCATTTCGTGAATACTACTAATGTAAGATGCTGGCACACAGAATTAACACATCCGCCAATGTTTGCATGTATATAGCAAGCAATAGGTAGGCCATTGAAAATATATTTCCCATGGAACATTCGGGCAATCTAGGTGTCACACTCCAATCTCGAAAATTTGAAAATTCTTAGTGACGAAAATATAACGATACAGTGAATCAATACTTTTCAATTACTGTGAAATACTTTATTTTAGTTGGAATTAATTCTCACTGAAAAAGCTTTTTGGGTGTTTTGTATGCAATATATATTTTCACTGATTTTTGATGAGTTGAATGTGAGACATAAGAAAAAAGTATATTCGTTGGATTTTATTTTCACAGAAGCATCGCTTCAGCGAAAATAGCGAAAATAAATTCCATGCGAAAATAAAGTATTCTACAGTATTTAAAAAAAGACCTTACCTCTAATTTTGGAAATTCATTTAAAACATCTGATAGTTTATCATGAAAATTTTGCTGTGTAAATTTCACTTTTCGCATGTAAAACTGTCGTATTCGATTAATCTTATAATGCTTGTGTACAACAGTTGGTGTTTTCCGCTGGGTTCGTGATAGCACGATATCCACAAAGTCCTGCAATGAATGACAGACAAATTAACGCATTGTAGTCACTGTGATGTTTTGTGTACGATGCGCATCCGGACAAATGTCAAATACAGTGTTATTAATTAACATGAAATTTTAAATTTAAAACTGCACAGCTACCGTACCGGTATCTTTAAGACGATTCAAGAACGTTAACAGGGAATTTTTTGGAGAAAAAATAAACAAGAGGGAGCACACACAGGCGATAGACCTTGAAACATCATATCGGAAGGTTTCTGTGCCGTTTTAACAGTGTATCTATTGCCATTGAAATATTTGGGGTACAGACACATTGTTAGCTGGTGTTGCTGAGAAGTTTTCACGGAGAAAAATATATTTGAGAAAGATTTCATGTTGTACGGCATCACAGAAGTTCACGGCTCTAAAATATATTTATGACTTGAAAGTTCAATCGGCAATTCGGTCAGAAGCCGCCAGTCGAGAGTATCAGGGCACTGTGCCTTGTTCCCTGGTTTAGAAAACTCCTGGTTAAAATTTATTTATTTTTTCATTTTATACAACATTAGCACTATACGTTTATACTTTAATGTGTAATCATGTACCCTATTGTAGTCTCTATACATGAAATAACCAGTTGCCTCAGTCCACCAACCAGTCCGGTTGTCCAAATACTTTGAGCAGTAGGACATACAATGTACATGTGATGAGCGCCAGTAAATTAATAAACTTTTAATAAACCAGTTTCGATTCCTACTCCTTTGAATTTTCCATTATAGCTTGAAACAAACGTTTGTCACTTGTAGGTTTTTTTTTTGATAAGAAACAGTGCCTGTCACTTCCCTAAATGGGGAGTGCTGGAGGGTAGGGGTAGGGTTAGGGATGGGGGGTACAAAAAGAACTCTTTCTGCAGATCAAGTGTTCTATATTACCGGATTCTGCCGTAAATTCGCCCATCCGAAAAATTGCTCTGGGCGGCTGGTGGGCCCTTACTTGGGGTTAAAATTTTCAAAAAATTATCATCAAATATTTTTAGGGGCTTATATTTTCATTGAAAAATCTACCTACACCGACTTTCAACACCGGCAGTTGGACCACCCAAAACGACAGAAACTAAAATTGTATACATTTTTTTCTAGCTGGATTAATAAGTAGACAGCGCATCTTTCTCCAAAAAAATCACATTAACGAACATTGTGCGCCAAATACAATTATTTTGTTTCACTTTACTAGTAACGAAAGTATATTCTAAAAGAAGTTTCAAATAACAACAAACACAACTGCATTGCTTAGTAGCGAATGATCGTGATAGCGCAATCCGGTCATGCTGCGTTTTACAATTGTTGATTATTACCTAGTAATGATTATAATAACGTGCAAAAAATAATTTCGTTGAATTGTTATGAAATGCAAATAGATTTCAACTTATTTCATCGTAAACGAATGATTCCGATCGTATTTTCAATGATCGATGCTGTAGAAATGAATATCCGCCATGTTTTGACCTGACCTGACCTGACAGGTCAAATTGATAATTAACTAATGAAAACGATGGATTATGCCAACGTGTTGAAATTACCATAACACTTTTAAATATGTTAATTGTTATTGATATACGATATTTTGGCTTGGATTTTGATGGGAAAGCGGCATGATTTGTTTTCAAACAAAAAACTGAGCATTTGAAAAATAATTTAACATTATTTACAGCGATAACAACTCATTGTCGAAACGAAGCTAACTTATTCACGCCAGTCGCAATAAACATCAATACTCTTGAATGGGCGTCAATAACTACAGCGAAACTTTTAGGCATCAGAAAAAATCAAAATAACACATTAAAAAACTGTCGAAAAATCGCCCTGGGCGGTTTCTTGGTCCCAATTTATTTTTTTTAAAACCCAAACTGCCATTTAACGGCCCTGGGCAATTTTACGGCAGAATCCGGTATGTAGGTACTGACTGCTAAACAACTGGAATCACAGGTCATCTCGTCTTTTGCCATTGTGTGTTTGCCTTACCCAAGATTGGAGAGATTGTTGTACAGCTGTCAATTTCACTTGTAACTGGTTGATATTTCTGCATTTCTATTATTTTTTTAATCCTACTAGGTAGGTACATATATTTCGGAATATCAAAAATGTTGCTGAGCCATTGATGGTTTGGCATCAAAATTTGACATATTTTTGATGTAAAAAACAACATATTAGAAAAAGAACCCCCACAAAAATAGTGAACAGCATTTCCAAACTTGTATCATTTCTTATACACAAAGGGGAAACCAATATCCGATGTTTGATAAGTATTGTATTAATTTTTATATTACATATACAAGCACTTCACATTTCTTATCAACAGCAAAAATACTATCCTTGATTTCCAAAAATGTTAACAAGAAACCCCTTGACCTTTTTGAAACATAATTTATAGATCCATTGTATGCCTCGCATACCCGTTGCTAAATTTCTACTAGTGACCCACCCTGGTGTGAACGAACAAATATGTTGTGGTTATATACAAGTATGCAACCCGATTGAGCAATTTTTAAATAGTCACTCGAATCTTGTCGGCTTTTGAAAGACAATCATCGGATACTCGCCGGTTCACATGAATATATGAACAAATTACGTGATATTCATATAAGTGAAAAACACCAGAACATACCTTCCCCGAAGGAACAACTGTTATTTTCTTGAAGTTATAATGCGACATGTTTAAAAACCATGCATCTGATACTGGATTCTGAACATGTGGAAATGTAACCTTTGAACTTCTATGTGAACAGCGCCCTCGAATATTGACAGCGTTTAATGTCCGATTTTAATGTTATGGACAATTATTTTTGTTTAGTTTCAAGAAAAAAAAACGTAAACAATTTAATTAACATTGTACGTAATCTAGATTTTATTCGAGAGGTCGAATATATTTCGAATGCAATTTTTGACCAAAAAACGAAAGCGGTTTTCTGAAAAGGGCGCACTTCGAGTTGAAAAGGCCCCGGATGAAGATATCTGCGTCTGCGCATACTGACGATTTCCCGCTTCGATCTTAGCAATTATTTCATTGTGTTGATATCGTTGAGAAAGGTAAACCTTGTTAATTTCCAATTGTTAAATCTCACTGTTGTTGACGCGATTGTATTTTATTTACCAGTTTAGTGTGAGAGTATGCGTTATTATGAAAAAATGAACTTCCAAAGTTCACTACTATTGAAAACATATTTTCAAAATGGCCGCCGATTTCGAAAACTCGTGAGTTGGTACAAAAATCGACGCATTTCGTTACTTTGTCTTATCATTCGGGTTACTCGAACCCGCTCGTCGCGTTGTTGATGTATGTTGAAAGACTGCTTGATAAAGTAGCTAACTTCTTTTGAAATCATTGTGTTTTTATTGAGCTGTCAATGTTTCATGACGTCACCAAACTCTTCACCTGAAGACAGCTGCTTTCCCGCATGTTGGACACATTCGTGAGTGACCGCTCGCAGTTAAACCATCAAGTACTTGTCACCTATATGTTTCATATGTCGTCTTGTTATGTCGGTTTATTTTTAGTGCTAATGTTTCATTTCATGATGCTGGTTTTTACTCGTTGAAAACTGCTGAGATTGTGCATTTTGTCAACAACCAGCAGTGAGTGCACATGTCATTAAGATCCATTAGACTTCACCATTCATTGTTAAAACTCTAAACATGTGCTAATGAATATGTACATCTACACTGCATGTTACTGGTAGTTTCTGATTTGTATACTTGCAGAAAATCCACTTGCGACTCCTGGGAGATTTGAAAGAATTTGCAAGTAAATAAATAAATTTCTTTCTAGTTCTACCAGTATTCTTGCTAACTTTAACATGGTCTGAAATAGTAGCACATCGGAAACGTTTCATTTTGTCCATAGAGGTAAAGAGGTGGTCAAACTGCCTTTGACTCATTGTTTATGGTGCTAATTGTTTCAGAGTCTATAGTTAATTGCTGGTCCTTTAAGCAACCAGAAAATGTTGCAACAAAAGCAAAAAGTTGTGTTTGTTTCTTTTTGTTGGTCTGTATTTAAGGATGCTGTACACCTTTTTTTGCTTTGAAACCCAAAATTCTACTTTTTTGTATTTTTCAATGCTGGACTACAAGGAGCAAACACTCAGTAGGAAAAAAAGTGAATTGAATGTTTTTATAGGGTGTAAAAATCAATTTTTGTTAATTAAAAACAAAAGCACATGTCATTATTTTGAAAGCTATGTTTTAATTAATCAGCCAAAGACATAATAGACAGATAATTTGCATAATAGTCACCACCCATAGCAAATATAAACAGTCTCTTGCATTCAGTACCAGCTCAGACTAGTAATACAAGTACATTTTTGTATTAGTAGTGCGAGGTACAAGTTACACGCACTCCATAAATTTAATTTCGTTGAATTTCTTGCTCTTCAAGCAGTTGACTATGAAACAGTCTTGGGGTCGACTATGACAGTGACGAAAGAAAACGAATGCAAGGAAATTTTGAGAAGAATGTCGACAGTGTGTAAAGT